GCGGGGGGCAAGGAGGGGTGTGGAACTCCCGACCAGGGCAGCCAGGCCCCAGCCAGGGACGGAGGGCCCGGGATTCAGGTGCCCCCTCCAGGTCCGAGAGGCCCAGGTGGGTCATGTTGGGGCTGGTGGCTCAGCAGAACTTCCGGTGGAAGGCTGGCAGCGCCAGTGCAGCGGCCTGGAAGCGAAGAGACTCAGCTGGAGCCCATGCTCTGCGTCTGTGTGCTGCGCGGTGCTGGACAAGTGTCCTTGGTCAGGGCTCCCTGGTAAAATGGACTCCAGGGTACAAGCTCGATTTGTGAAATTTGAGTGTGGGACCCGTAATTTCACTGGCATGGTGTAATCTTACCATTTGAAAATGAAAAGAAAACCACTTTGTAATAGATGATCAGGTGTCTGCCTGGAGACTATGTGTTCTATGTCTGCAAATACTCCTCAGCCACGGATGGAAGGGCATGCCTCCTTGGGAAGGTAGAGTATTAAGGAGGGAAGGTAATATTTTTTTTACTTATTTTAATGGTATGTGAGTTGTTTTTTTAACGGGTGAGGAACATCAGGCTGAATAGACGATGTCTAAGGTGCCCTCCAGCCCTTGCGTGCTGTAAACATTGGCTCCAGGTTTGGGAATTCAGAAATGCAAGAGGCTTTGAGGTCAGGGGGCTGGCCAGACCTGGAGTCCGTGTGTAGGGTAAGGACTTGCTCTTCTGTTGACAGGAAGTGAAGTAGGAGTGGGTTTTTAGGCACCCCTAAAAGAGCTAACCTCAGAGCTGCCCCCAAATAAGATTGACGTTGCCCAGGATGTATCCCCTTCCCTCAGAGACATGGAACATGAAGCTTGAGAGGGGACCCACGTCTGACCCGTGTGCGGCCCTGAGTACTCTAAGAGGATGTCAAATACGGACATAGACAGATGTGGGGGATCCCGCAGGTGGGGTTTTCAGCACCCCCATATAGTTTTCACTTCATTATACACACTTTAAGCAACTCTTGTGTGCAACACCCCGAGGAAGGAACTGGCAATTTAAGGCCAGGAGGCCAGTTTAGGAAAATGAACTTAGGATGAATATTGTCATTATAGCAGCTGCAAGCGCAAAACCGACGGCTTGCCGTGCAATATCCTCAGAGCGTTGGAAGAATTTCTATTTTATAGGGGGAGCCGAGGGGAGGGCAATCTTTTTGGAATGGAAGCTTCATGGGCTTATTCTGCTTATTTGGGGTGGCAGCCCCTGGGCACTGCCAAGGGTATTTCTTTTTTTCTCTTCTTTCCTTTTTGGATCTGTATATGATTTTAAGACGTGAATTGTTCTGGATGGGATTTGAGGAATAGGCTTTTATGCCCCCTCTTTAACCCAGTGGGAAAGCCACAGAATACTAGTTTTTTAAAGTCCGGCCTTACACCCTCCAAATGCACCGGTGGGTGGGAGAGGGTCCACGCCGCGGCCCTTCTCAGTCTGGGACACAGAAGTCGGCTTCGCTCAGGAGCCCGCGGGGCGGGGCAAAC